ATTCTCCTGCCTTAGCATCCCAAAAGCTGGGATAGCAACGATGTGTCACCATGTCCAAGAGTTTAAGTCTTTAGATATGCATTCCACATTTACTTTCATTCTTATTTCCATGTGATTTTAATATGGGACCTTGGTCAGTGATTTACTATTGATACTTTGGTATTTAGGGCTAACAATAAACTTTTTTGGTAAAGGAGAAGTCTGTTCTATGATTCTAAGAATCTAAGTAACTCTAGCCTCAGCCTACCAGCACACCTATAGCACTTCCTTATTGGAGATAACCAAAAGCATCTCAGACCTTGGGACAAAAGTCCCCCAGCCTCATCCATGAGGAACTAACTTAGTCATCCAGGATAGCCTCTCTGAAAAGTTTCAGATGTACACTCAGGAGATGGAAAAGCTCATGATATGATGATAGAGGAGAACGAACCCCTGGCCCTTCTCCCAAGGGAGAGTAGTGAGAAGTGGTAATGAACAGGATGTTGCATCTTCCCTCTCAACCATCTGCATGTAACAATTCTAAAAAGGCTGACCTAATCACTGGGTATGGCTGCTTGAAAAAAATAAGGAAGTGGTCTGTTGGTGGTTAAAGCCTTGCTATATCTTCTCAATGGGTGGTGGTTATTTTTTAGAAGATAGATGAGACAAAAATAAAGGGACTTATGACTATAGGTTTTATGACAAAACAGTTGGTAGTGTGTCTAAATACTGAAGACAAAGTAACAGTATGTTCCTGAAGTTTATAATAGGAATTTAAATAACCCTGCCTCTGTTTATCTGTGTTACCTGCCTGTTAGAAAAGCATAATTATTACATCTGTTGTGATAGCATGTGACTGTATCCCAGCACTTGAAAGTTTTGACTCAATAGACTCATGAATTCAAGGCCATCTTATGCTATATGCTGAGCCCCTTGAATCACACACACACACACACACACACACACACACACACACACACACACACGGAGTGGGGGTGGGGGAACCTCATAATCTCATATGCAGGCATTATTCCAGAAAGAGAAAAATGTTCTAAAGAAGTTTTGATTACTAAAATCACAAATCTTGTATTTTTAGTAAAATTCTTAAAGAAAAGATGGAGATGAGTCTTGAAGGCATGGTGTGGTGTCACCTGGAACACTCTGATAAGGCCAAATATTTAAGAAGCCTATGTATACCCATTTAGGAACTAATTTGGCAATAGATATCAAGACCCTAGATCTAGGTCTTGCTGACAATACTCAGGGAGATCTTTCTAAGACAGGGAAAATGAGGTTAGTAGGTTATTTGACATGGAATTCCGAATGTAAAATAGGAGGAGCAGAAATCAGCCATCCTTCAAGACATTCCAATGTGAGTGGGAAGGAAGATAGAGCATGTGAAGGGACATAGAGGGTGAAGAGAGGTTTCTGTTTTGTTTGCTTGATTTAGGGACTGAAATGACTTAAATTAGTGTATAAGTCAAGGTTCTTTAGAATCACAGAATTGATAGAATGACTTAGTAGATAAGGGATTTATTAGAGTGCCTCACAGGTTGTGGCCCAGCTAGTCCAATATTGGCTGTCTCCTGATAGAGTTCAAGAACCCTATGAATTCCTCAGCTGATCATCAGTTTACAAGAGAACCTTGGAAAAGTAGGCTCCGAGACAGTGCCAGCAAGAGTAAAGACTGGCAGGCAAAGAGCAAAGGCTTCCTCCATCCTTGTCCTTTATATAGGGTGCCATGCGAAGGTAGAAGTCAAATTTAGGGTGGTTCTTCCTAACACTACTGATGCAATTAACTGACAATAGCACCCAGCATTCAAAGATGGCAGAGGCAAAGGAGATAAGCACAGACTAGGCAAGGGCAGGAGGTGACTGCAAGGTGTTGTATGAACTTGGTGCTCAGAATCAGGGTGCTCTCATTTGCCACAGCAGGTATTGAGGAGTTTCACATAAAATGGTGAAATAAGCATAACTATTTTAGAAAATTTACACCAACAGCAGAGAACAGACCAAAAAGAGCAGTTAGAATTGGTGAGTGCTACCATTGGTCAACACCAGAAAGTGGTCCTTTGGTCCAAGATGAAAGACAATGGCAGTAGATGGACTAGCACACATATGGTGAGAGGCAAGGGAAAGAAAAGAACCGAGGATAACTACTAGAGTTCTAGCTTAGAAACTGAACAAATGGACATACTATTAATTGAGGCAGATAACAACAAAAGAGCGGAAAAGTTGGGACAGAAACTATGGAAGGGCTTTTGTTTTTATTTTTTTTTTTATTTTGTTTGTTTAAGACAGGACCTTTCTTATGTAGCCCTGGACATCCTGGAACTTGTTATATGGATCAAGCAGGCCTGGAACTCACAAAGGTCTACCAGTTGGAGCTGAGGATGTAGCTCGGTGACATATTAGACATATCAGAGGCCCTAACTCCCAAATTTTCATTTTTAACACTCCTCCCATCAGTAGATACACTTCTGGTCCCTTCCCCTTGAGGCCAGGTATGCTGATCTGAATCTATAATCTCAGCAGTTAGGAAGTAGAGGCATAAGATTGGGAGTTCAAGGTTGTTCTCAGCTACACAGCAAGCGTGAGGCCAGCTTGGGTTACAAGGGACCCTCTAGTGCTGATAATGTCCCCTCCTCTTGAAGCTGTAGAAGCCTTCATGACTGCCTTAGTGAACAGAATTCTGAGGTGTGGTTCACTCACAAAGCTAGGTGAGAAATAATAGACACTACTGACTGGTTTGTCTTAACTGACTGTAGGAGGCACTACAGTTAGACACTGACTGTGTGGATGAAAGTGCTTTTCAAATAAGTCTAGGCTCCACCATGGTCCTGCTGCAAGTCGGAAGGATTCCATAAATGAAAAGTAACCTAGTGAAACCCACCTCCAGCTCATGAGTGAAATTAGTTGTAGCTATTATTTTTGGCACTGATGCTTTGAAAAAAAAAAAAAAGTCAGAACAAAAATGGTGAGTCAAATTTTGAACACATGTTTGGAAAGTCTAGAGTAGATGCTTTAAGAAAAGAAGAACAGATATTCAGATCTGAGGCACAGGCAAGAGCTTGGGATCTGAGAGTTCATTTATACAGATCCCCTACTCCCATATGAAGCATGTGTGTCCTCAGTGCATCTTCACATTTTAAAATTTCATTAGAAGTTCCTCAGAGACATAGAAAATATGACACCATGCCCATTTTAGAACTGAGATATTTAAAAAGCCCTAAAGACGGGGCCCAGACAAAAAACAGTTCTTCTGGTTCCCAGTATAATGCCATTTCCAGTGCACCCTTCTACCTGTAGGGAGAGAGCAAAATGACCCTGTTGGAACCATATATGGAATGCATTCCATCTTGCCATGAGTGCAGGGAGCTCAGAGCATTTCTATTGCCGCTAGCTAAGACATTTAGTTTACTGGCTACAGGATGCCTGTGCCTTGGTGGTGAATGGCTCTTATCTAAATAACAATAGGCTTGGGCCCAGACTGCTTGGCACCCTGAAGACAGATAATACACGCACAGTTGTGGAGTGCCTTCCTGATTAGGAAAAGTAGTTGCTGTTTGCCCTTTATACATAATAATAGGAGTCTTCTGCGATTGGCCCCTCCTATGGTTGATTACTTAAATTTGGAGATATGAAATAAATGGGGAATTCAGTATAGACTGAATCTGCTCTCCTGACGACTATCCTGTGTTTCCCTCTTTTATTCTATTAGTTAGCCTTTCCCTCATCCACACTCCCTGACTCAGGAATGGCCCCGGGGTCTCTCAGCTGGTTCTGATTACAGCCCCACAGAGACATCCTGTCCAAGAGCAGAGGACACTGGTAAATCATCTCCTTGAAATGGACAGCTGAGGGAAGAGATGTAAAGAGTGTGTCTCAACTTTACTCTGAAGACAAAGATTATAAAAGAGAAGGAACTCGTGAAGAGGGAAAGAGGGTTAGAGGGAGGGAGGGAGAGGGAACTGGGATTGACACGTAAAATAATAATAATAAAGAGAGAGAAGGAACTCAAACACTCATGAAGTTATGGACATGTAGACCAAATGAAAGTTTTTGAAGTTATTCATTCATCTGTTTAACGGTTAATTACTGAGTATATGCTGTGCTCCAAGCTCTGTGTCTGAGAAGCAGGATGCTGACTCAAGAAGATAGAAACAAGCAAGTCATAAGCTACCGTCTGCACCCCATGGTTTTTAGGAGGAAGATACATGAAAATAGAAGCCAGTAGTGAAGGCAGGATGAGTTTAGGGCACACAGAATTCTAGTCAGAAAGGCCCAGAGTTAAGATGGATGCTCCTTTGGAGACAAACAACCAAGTTAAGTTCAGCCACCTTGGTCTCAACAGTTGACCAACATATCCTGTCAGTTCTGCTGTTAGCAGCAATAATTCTGTGCTATGAGCTAAAGCAGCCCAAGGTGGTCAGTATAGTTACAAAGGGCCCTGAAGAGAGTGCATCTGTAGACCTGAAACCAGTCTGTGCCAAGAATGCCAGACAGAGAAGCCTGGTGTGAGTATCACAGTCTCAATGCTCCCTCCATAACTCCTTGTTCACTTTATGCCTTTTCACCCACAGTGCTGACATTTGTATCTGTTTCTGACAGAGTAATTTACCTTTTATTTTAACTCAGGGCAGGACCCCTAACAGGACACATTGCTTCTGAACATAAAACATAGCAACCAAACAATGGGGCACCACTCAGCGGAGAGCTTCTCTTACTTAAAAATAAGTTTCTGTAATTTCACAGACCAGCAACCACGAGTTACAGCACAGGGGACCTACTTCCCCATCTCACTTGGACCTGTTTCTCATGTCCCCTCGTGAAAAGAAATGGGGCCTGATTTTCCAAAGTTAAAGAATGCTCCCCAGCCTTTCCACAGCCCTGCTACCAGCATAGAAGAACCCTGCCCAAGAGCCCACCCATTTCTAGGGTTGAGCTACAACCCATCTCCCCTTTCCCAGCTGGCCATGCCATCAGTACACAACCACAAGCAGACACTTGGTGGAAACTACCTGGAAGTCCCATTGTCAGAAGCAGGAGGAGTAACAGATCCAGACACCATTCCCGTTTTCTGAAGTCGTACATGCTACTTTGCAATGCTTGCCAGGAGCACTGGAGATAGCTGGGGGGGAAGGCAGGGACTTCCTTTCCTTCATAGAGGGACAAAAACCAGAAACAGGAAGTCACTAGAGTAACGTGGTGGGAGGATCTTTTTCTCCCCTAGCTGTTAATGTTATCAAAACAAGAGTACTAATAACCGCTTTGAGGAAAGGAGTTCTGGCCATCAGCTTCAGGCTTGCTCAAGGTGCTTTGGGGGTCCATGCAGGGCCCTACACCATACCTTAGTCCCATTTCTCCTGCCTGTCAGCCAGTCTTCTCACATAGTAAATCCATGTTGTGAAAGTTCAAATTCCCCCTCCCACTTAATATCATCAGGACAGATTCCTTAGCTTGAAAGGATGGGTTTCTCCTCACCCTTGTTCATCTCAGGCATTTTGAACCCATTTCTCATTCTAATTTCTTAAGTCTAAATGAACTATTTTCTTTACCCAAGACACCCTGGGAGTCTCAGGAGGTGAGTCATATTCTCTGAGATAGCATATCTGTAATCATTTCAGAAGTAAATGATATTTCTAATTATCAGAATGAAGGTGAACAATAAGATGATTTCTCTTCATCTTATTGAAAGACCCCCAGAGACCCCAAGAGTTTGGAGCCTGTCAGGCGGAAGGCCCTTGCCCCCAAGAGACGAGACCAGACCACTGGATGCAAGTGCAAGAGGTTGTTTATTGTTTACACAGGTACCTGTGGACGCTTCAGTCTTTCGGGGGACTGAGCATGCTGAGGTTAAAACTCAGGCAGTTTATATAGGGTTGGGGTGGCAAGAAGCAGGCTTACAGAAGCAGAAGCATGGTTACAGGGATTTCATTGTTTCATCTAAATGTAGCAGTTGTAGTTAACCAAGGACAGTTGGTTATTCGGGTTGGGCACAAAGAATACAGAGAATTCAGTTATGACTATCTCAGCATACTGGACACTGTCCTGCTGACCTTGCTTTGGTCCAAGCTGCAGACCACAGATATCTGGTTTGTGTTGGATGAGAGCAGCACCTGGTTCCCTCCTGTACTTTTCTCATAACTTGACCTTGGCAAATTAGCAAGAGCAATTTAAACAGGCAATAAGCATAGTGCGGGTCTTTCATTCCCCCTTTTTTCTATAAAATGAATAAAACCCTTTATTCATGGTTTTTCAGTTTTCATTTGTTTTAATTGCTGGTACTGCTGGGTCAAAACTAGGGCCTGAACAACTGACGTGTGTGTGTGTGTGTGTGTGTGTGTGTGTGTGTGTGTGTGTGTGTGTGTGTGTGTTTGAACAGTACCAGTCTATTTAAAATGCATCCAGGCAGCAATCCTGTCTACTTTCAGGGCGATGGGAGTTGTCAGGAGCACAGTGTAGGGGCCCTTCCAGCGGGGCTCTAAGTTCTTAGTCTGATGTCTCTGAACCCAGACGGAATCACCAATCTGGAAAGAGTGGGGCTGACAAGAGGTTATTTGTTCCTCCCGGGATGCGGCCGCCAGAGGTTTCCAGACCTCTTCTTGGACTATCTGTAAGGCTCATAGATGCACCTGTATGGAAGGGGTGTTTGCAAAATCAGAAATGTCAGCATCAAAGAATGATACAGCTGGCGGTGGACTGTCATATAGGACTTCAAAGGGAGTTAGGCCATGAGGGCCTGGAGTGTTTCTGGCCCAATAGAGGGCCAGAGGTAGGAATTGTACCCAGTCCTTAAAGCCAGTTTCAAGCGTTAATTTGGATAAAGCCTCCTTAATGGTTTTATTTATTTTTTCTACCTGTCCTGAACTCTGGGGTCTGTAAGCACAATGTAGTATCCAATTTATCCCCAGCAACCTGGCCACCAACTGACTTACCTGGGAGATGAAGGCAGGCCCATTGTCTGATCCTATTACCTGTGGCATCCCATATCTGGGAAAGATTTCTTTCAATAGTTTCTTGGTGACCATTTTTGCAGTCTCATGTTTGGTAGGAAACGCTTCCATCCATCCTGAAAAGGTGTCTATAAAAACCAGTAAATATTTATAACCATATATTTCGGGTTTGACTTCAGTAAAGTCTATTTCTCAATGGACATCAGGCCTATGGCCACAAAGCCGGGTCCCAGAATTCAGTTTTGTTTTTCCTTGGTTTATCTGGGCACAGGCCAGACAGTTAGCAGTTACTTGTTCCAGTAATAAATTCCGATTGGGAAGGTAAGTTCCAATTTCTTGTCTATCTAGCAAAGTTTTCATCTTTTTGGCGCTTAGATGAGTCAGTTTATGGAGGTGGTCTATTAACATTTTTGCCATTTTTATAGGCAGTATAGTCTTTCCTTGGTAGACCCAGCATTGCCGATTGGGGTCATAATCTGCACCTAGTTTCTGAACAATGTCCAAATCCGTTTCATCATAGTCCCAATCTGGAGTCTTAGCTGTTTCCTTTTCAGTCAATATGCTTATAGTCAATAGTTGGGGGCTTAAGGCTGCTTGTTTGGCTGCTTCATTAGCCAGGCGATTTCCTTTTGCCTCCAGGCTTTCCCCCTTTTGATGTCCAGGGCAATGCATTATGCTCAATTTTTTTAGGAAGGGACAGGGACTTTAATAATGTCAAGATTTCATTTTTATTTTTGATTTCTTTGCCTTCTGATGTTAAAAGGCCCCTTCTCTGATAAATTTCTCTACGGGCATGGGCAGTGGCAAAGGCATACCGGCTATCAGTGTACACATTAAGCTTCTTACCTGCTGCTATCTGGAGAGCCTGAGTCAGAGCAAAGGGTTCAGCTCGCTGAGCAGAGGTGCCTCCGGGGAGTGCAGTGGCCCATATGACCTCTGAGGCATTCATCACTGCAGCCCCTGCCCATCTCTCACCATTTAACAAGTAGCTGCTGCCGTCTGTGAACCAGGTGTAGCCTGCATCTTTCAAGGGCTGATCGGTCAGATCAGGCCACATTCCATGCATCTCTGCAAGGATCTGCTGACAGTCATGGGAGGCTGGTTCCTCCAGCAGTGGTAACAAGGTGGCTGGGTTCAGGGTTATTATTAGGGGTGGCTGTTGTATGGCCAGCCCATGCCCCCTGTTTCTGCCCAGGCCAGGGGGTGTTGTTTTAACCATAAGTCCATTCCTTCCTGTTGTTCAGGAGGCTTTTCAAAAAGTCTATATTCATTTTCCAATTGTAAAGTCAATATTTGAAGTGGAGCCCCTTGTGGGCCAGAGACTTTAGCTCCTGGTCCTTCAAAATGGATCTGGGCTTTTAATTTAGTCAGTAGATCTCGACCCAGTAATGGATATGAACAGTCCGGTACATGCAAAAAGGAATGTGAGACTTTACCTGATGGGAGATGAACTTTTCTCTCCGTGGTCCATCGGTATTGTTTTTCTCCGGTGGCTCCTTGTACCCAAGCTGTTTTGGTACTCAATGGCCCGTTCGTTTCAGTGAGAACTAAATGTTGGGCTCCAGTGTCCACCAGGAAGGTGACTAACTGCCCCTCCCCCTGACTTTTAAGGTTAGCCTGGGCTGGGGGAGGGGGCTCCTGGCCCAGACCACCCTAGTCTTCATCTAGGGCTAGAAGCTGAGTTGGTCTTTGGGGTCCGTCCCCATACCTCTGATTTTTAGGTCTCTTAGGGCAATCTTTGACCCAATGGCCTTTTTCTTTGCAGTAGGCACACTGGTCTCGATCTACCCTGGGCCTCCTTTTTTTTTTTTTTTTTTTTTTCTTCTTCTTTTTCTGACTTCCTGCACTATGATTATTCTGAGCTACAGTGGCCAGGATTTTGCTTAATTCTTTCCGGTTCCTATGATCTCTCTCTCTCTCTCTCTCTCTCTCTCTCTCCTTTAGCTCCTTCTTTAACTTGTCCTCTCTTTTCTCCTGCAACTTTCTAAGTCTTTTTTCTTTTATCTCGGGTGTTTCTCTCTTTTTAAAGATCTTTTCTGCTTCCTTTACGAGATCCTGCAGGCTATAATCTTATAAATTATCTAGTCTCTGCAACTTAGTCCTAATATCTGGAGCCGACTGCCAAATGAAAGCCATAGAAACATTGCCCCTTTGCTCGTTACTATCAGGATCAAAGGGTGTATACATACGGTAGGCTTCCTTTAGCCTCTCCAAAAATGTAGTCGGAGTTTCCTCCGGTCCCTGGGTTATCTGTCTTACCTGAGCCAAATTCCTGGGACAGCATCCCAGGCCCGAGGAGACCCGCTGTGAGTAACTGGCGATAAAGACGTAGGTGTTAAAGTCCCAGCAGGGACGATTTAGGGGAAAAATTTCCTCAATTTTATTTGGCAACTGAGTGGGCTTTTTTATCATCCTCTAAGACGTTTCTCCCAGGAAGATGCATTGTCCCCCCCCCCCCCCCGAGGTAAGGAGGACCTGCAAAAGCCATATTTAAGTAGGTTAGAGAGCTACAGGGTCTTTGGAGAAGGAGGGGTTGTTAGATTTTTCAATTATAAAGGTTGGACGCCGAGAAAGGCCAGTATTGAAATTGAAATTGGCCTCCTAATCCAGCAGCCTGGCGCAGGGGAAAGGCTCAGCAGGTTCCTTCCATGGCTGGCTCCATTTGATCTCAGAGTCAGCTGGCTACCGGGGAGTCCTACACAGTTTTTTTTTTTTTTTTTTTTTTTTCCTTTAACCAACTGATTGTGAGCTCGGCTCTGTACCTCATCAATGATCTAAAATAAACTTAAGGGGGTGGTTAAAGATTGTTTCATATTTTCTTCGAAATAAAGAATCAGACAGATAAACAGAACAGACAAAACACATAGACAGCCGGCACAAAGACACGCTGCGCGTTTTCGGCCGTAAAACCGAAACCAGATTCTGAGTTGGAGGCACAGAGGGTCTTAAGCCCCCTGGCCCCCCCAAAACCATGAATCCCTGGGACTCGTTGTGGGCCCCGAAAAATCGGGCGCCCCAGATCCCTGAGACATCTCCCAGGGTGGCGGGTAGAAGTCCGAGCTCGTCAGCTCCTTCTCAAGCCGCCTGCAGACTCGACTACCCTAGCCGATTACCGATCGCTGCGCAACAAGCAACAAGTAAAAGACCACAAAGAACAGAAATTAAGCACTGGCCAGT